TTTTGAAATTTTCATATCTCGAAGAGACTTTGTCGAAAAGTTTTGAAATTTTTTGTGCAAGCTAGTCTAACTGCGATCTTTATGTGGACAAAGTTTTATGTCAAAATTCGAAAATATGGCTCTGCTGAAAAAGTAGGGTCCTATAGAGAAAATTCACTAAAACCCCGATATCTCGCTAGGAATAAGCCATGGGTCCGAACTCCTTTTACGGTAAACATAATTCACTAAGATCTACAAGATGCGCGACGTCCCGACTCAAAAGCGCTCCGACACCTGGGAATGTTCCCTCGTTAGTGTTACGAGTATGTAAGAAGAAAGATTTTCATACGTAGATATCTTTTCAGTATCCTATTTCAAAAATAATCCATGTCAAATCTTAATATATTAGTTAAACAAGAGACCAATGATTATGTAATAAAAAATAGTGATATTTTAAATTTTATGGCTAATTTGTTTCAGATGTTCAGTATGATTCTATATTCGAACTCGAACCAATAATTAATTTGATCGGAACGATTCAAAATATCTCAAAATTCGATGTAATACTGATGAAACACTTTATTGTACTTGAGAACACGGTATAGAAATGTAAATTTATGTTATTTCAATAAAAGAACTCAGTTTTTAGTAAAAATTTAATCTACTAATGGTTACGATGTAAGATAAAAAGTATATTTAAGCGAAATTGATCAAATTTTAGAAGCAAAAAGGAAGTCGAGTCAGTCCTGAATCATTTACTTTTCTATGGAGTTTTATGTTTTTTTCTATTTTTATTGTTACACTTTAGATAAGAAACTAAACAAGTTCTTATGAAATAAAAATTCAAAAATTATAATAGGATTGTGAAAATATTTGCTTTATGTCGATTAACTTTGGTATAATAGCAGTTTCGGATTGAAATGAACAAATCGTAGTACAAGACCTGTTGCAAAAAAAAACACTACTTCTACATGATACTATTTCATAAATAATATCGTGAAGAAAATCTATTAAGCTGATCTCATGCTTCAGGTACATAATGAAGAATTCTAGAAGAGAATAATTAAAATGATTTCGGATCTATAGCCAGGGATCTTAAACAATGAACTTTATTACTGAACGTTTGTGTATAAGTAAGTTACATGATATTAAAATATCGAAAAATTTTAAATGCCAATGATCGATATCGTTTATAAATTCTCTTTATTTATCTAAAAGATCTTCTCATGTATTAATGAATCACTTTATGCAATAAGTAGTACTGTAATTCCTTATACAAAAAGCAAAAAAACTTCCAGAAAGTTTTTTTCTATAGCATTTGTTTATGCTTTTTGATAGACATCAGGTAATTGCTAAGTGAGTGAAAAAAAACATAATTTCTAATAACAAAGGAAATAAAAAAAGATATTTTTACAAAAATAATCAGAAAATTTACTCAAAATTTCGATTAGAATGCCCATAATGTCTGAATAATAAATTCTAAATATTCGAATCTTGTATAGCTTTCAAGATATTTCATCATCAGTTTCAATAGACACCTATCAAATGCAAGAATCACTTGTAAGTATGTCATGGATGATTTTACTTCCAAAGGCGTTGATTGAAAATCGATTCACCTTCATCGTCTCTTTCAAATCATGAAAATCGTAACTCTTTACCTTATGAAAAACTTTTTATTATGATATTAGTTGAAACATAGTCAAATTACCATATAAAATAGATCATTGTTGTTTTTTTTCTCCCAAACCATATAGAAGAAAATTGTTTTCAAGCTTTTCTTTAAAGAATTACAGTATTTCTATTACTCATTTTCATAGACTTCAAGTAATTTCTATTGGTTGAGGACAAAATATTTTCCTATAGAATGTTAACATCAATATCATTAACTCAAAGAATGGAAAGCGTTTATTCAGAACGTATAATGTAACGCAAGATTTTCCATCTGGCAAAATAATTAACATAAAAAGAAAAACAACTGGTGATGTTAGATATCTCTACTATGTCATGTTGATATAAGTTCGCATTAACAATTGCCTTATTCACATTTTGTATTAAATACTTTTTGTCTCGCTTACTTCTCCTTTTTGAAAAGCTTCAATTAAATCAACCAATGTACTTCTCTTAATTGAACTTTCGATATCTACAAAAATAAATGAGAATTATGATTTTATTGATTGTAAACAAAACATTTGCTTACGTGGTCCTCGATAATTAACTTCAACTTGAATATCATCTGGATTTGTTAATTTTAAAAGTTCTTTTTCTTCTACGTAAAAAAAACAAACAAATTGAATTTATTTATTGTTTATTTTTTATTTCAAATAATGTATTACCAAGAGGTAATCCAGATTTTTGAAGTAATTTCGTAACAGATGCTGAAAGTATATCGGATGCTTTTAGTAATTTTTCAAACATATCCCTAAGCTATGAGATACAAAAAAAAAAAGAATTTCGCATAATAATGTAATTATAATATATATAAATACTTGTTACTTTTGCCTCAGTTTGTTCATTTGAATACTCAAGTTTTTCATGAATTTTCCATGCTGCTTCATTTTTTAATCTCAATCGAGCTTGATGATTACGAAATGCACCTTGAATTTTTGTTGCAGCATTACCGACTAAAATAAAAAATAAAATAATTTTTATTTGAATTTTCTTCTTGCTTAAATATTTTTGATCATTATTTCTTATTCCAATAGAAAACTATAAAGAATAAATATTCATACATGATGATGATGATGATGATGATTGCCGACATATTTTCAAATAAATCCAGTTAATCTAATAGTGATGCCATTTAAAATAGAATCTGAAAAACAAAATTAATTCTAATAATTTCATCTTTACACAAAAATCGATGGATTTCTAAACGATGTTATATAGTCCTATTGTCTGAAGTGTCAATTGATAGAATAATAAGAATCATCATCATTCCATAATCAAATATCAATCGGCTTTAGTATGTTCCATAACGATAAACATATGTTGAAGACATTTACACTGAAAGTCACAAGAATTTTCTCCTATAACAATTTTTGTTTTTTTTTGTTACTGTGTATCTTATATTGATTTATTGACTACAAATAACGAGAAGGATCGAAACGCACTGAATATTTTGGCTTATTTACTTTAAACATCCAATTTCTGTTTCAACTATCAAAAATATATTAGAAAAAAACAATGACCTTTTTTTATTTTGTCTACAATATCTGAATGTTGTAACATTTTTAATTTTGCATATATCTCGACTCAGGTAAATGATAAATTCTTGAAAATGTTTTTTCTAAAAGATTTGTTGAGATATAGGATGTGTATGGGTGTATATTTTTTCGAAGTCAACATTCATCCTCACACCTACACCTTGAAATCTCGATTAAATCTAGAAAAACAATTCATTTCACTTATCAATTAGAGTTGTTTCTATTGTTCAGTCAATATTAGATGAAATTACGTGTACAGGCAAAATATTATTTGCTTTTTCGACTATTTTCACAACGTATTCTAATTGTATAATATCAGTCAAGACCTTGTTAGAAGATTGTTCTAACTGATACTTTGAGAAAGTGTTCATAAGAAAAAAGATATATTACATGATGTATTCAGTTTCGTCAATTTTTTTGACATACACTGAAGAAGATAAATTATTCTAATTCAAGAAGAAATAAGTATTGAAACTATTGAAATTATTTTGTACCATATTGATAGAAAAGATTGTGAAAAAGTTTCTTCAAATGAATATGATGTAATGAAGATATGAATAAAAAATTAGGTTTTTCTATTTTTTTTTGAAGATAACCTATTTATTTGTCCATTTGATAAACAAGATAAATCTAAACATTAGAATAAACACTACGATAAAAATTTTGTAAAAACAATTGAATAATAAAAATCTACATATCAGTATGCTTGTCTATTTTGCGTCTACGATTGACTATGTGTGTGATAACTTTTCTTTTCTATTGCTATCCTATTACAACAGCAGAACGTATGAGAGGAAGCCTAAAATACGAGTTTTCCTTTTTTTCCCCATCTCTCGCCCGCAAGTTATCGTTGATGATCAATGATAACACGGCATAATTAATAAGTATCTATTAAGCTTTATCCATACACATACGTTGAGATATTTCTGATAAAATTCATCTCAATGCATGTGAGTGTTCGATTATAGCTTAATTAATATCGTCTTTTAATCAGTCTCTGAAGAGAAAATAATGATTTTTTTTACGTATAAATATTAATGATTTTCTATGTAAAATTATTCAATTCATTGAATTAAATAATTATTCTTTTTTGTTTTCGATTGACTTCTGGGATACAGTCTGGAATAATGCAACAACAGCACAACAAAACAACAATAAAATAAGATGTAGGTATGCGTTGGTTTTTTCTTTGTTTTCCTTTTAGATCATATGGAGGGTGGTAAATCGTCTTGTAATCTTTTTACTAATGTTTTTCTTTATTTTAGAAAATAAACAGTGAAGAAATAATATAAAAGCATGCTTTGCATGTTCATTTGTTTCCTGATTCTCATTAATATTATCATAAGGAATAATCACATGATCGCAGCAGCTTATGAGCCGATTGATGCGAAGTTTGGATTCAGTTATAATGATCAACCAAACAAATTGATTCGTAAAAGTAAAATTTACTCGTTTTCAACGTCACTGCTTTAATCAATAGAGTCTGAACATATTATTCTATGGATGACAACAATATGCGGACCAAATTTTGCTGCTTACCATTTATAATATTCATCTTACAAGTGGCATGCGTGTTATGAATACTAGCGACTGCTGTAATAACCGATGTCGTGTTGTTCGTTTTTGTTATCCTACTGTACCTCCACGTTGTCATTCTCCATTAAATATATCTCACAATTGCAGTTCGATGAAATGTCAATGTGACTAATAAAAGTGCTCAATCTATTTTCCTACTCATTTTCTAGCTTAACAATGTCATAAAGCGGATTGTAATACTGAACAATAGATATTTTCATTTATTTCGTATGCCCTCACAATTTGAAGTTCGCATTGATTTCAAAACATCATTTTCTAGTAATACTTCATAGCACTTACTTTTGAATTTTTCTCAAATTAGTGATCATTTTTCTATAGACAGTTTTAGTTTAGTAAAAAGAAAAAAGGGTATGAGTAGTGATATAGGTGGTTGGAAACCATTGACGTCAGGATCTACACTCACACTCTTGAGTACATGACGATTAGATGCTATGAATTGTTTTGTTATAGCACAAAGATTAACTTGATCTTCGATTCAGATGTCTTTTTATGAGTGATACTTATTCACAGCGTCACACGATGTTCTCGTACTGCTACAAAAAAAAAACATTTTTCGGGGTAACTGATTGTAAAAATTGATGAAAAGCTTTTACAGTCATGGATTCTGTGCTCGATCTGTTCCGTTTAACAGGCTTCCAAAAGATGCATGGCCTAACAGTTCATCCTTGTTAAGAATGATCTAATTTATCGTTTTTATTGGTTGCTTAAGATCTTTTTATGTTGGTCAAGTTTTGTGCTATGTGCATCACTCGGGTAACCAGTAGTACCTTGGCAAGTCTCTACTTTATTTTGTTGTCAAGATAATTTATCTGGAAATTTTGTGATACTGTGCTATGTCTTTCTTTCTTCGTTTTTCTGGTTTTATTTTACTCTGCTTTGAGTGAGACAGCAACGAATGACTTTCGAAATTGATCAGTTCTTGATGGACCTGATCTAGCGATCAGTAAAAAGTCAGTTACGAAAGTGTCTTCGATCACAAGTAGATTTATCCTTGCCCTGTAAAATAAAGGCCAAGTACCGTGCCTAACAGATTCAAAGGCTCGATTCGAAGCTGTGTAGAACTTCTCTCACTCTAGTCCCTCACATGTTTTCATGGAGTTAGTTTTTGATGTTGAGGAAATATAATTATTGTAATAGAAATAAAACAGTTGAAAAATCGAATCGGAGAATAATTAACAAATATCGAGGTCGAAATCGATTGTTGTTAAATCTCATTAAATCTGGTTATAGATTGATTAATACATACGAACATCATACACGTATTCTAATGGTAAAGCGATGATGACTATGACGTTACAAATATATTGTATTGCCTTTTGGAGTAGAACTAAAATTATAATGTCTGATTGTTCAAGTTTTAACTATTGCATCAAATATTTTCCATTCATTCGTTATGCTATTTTTATTAATATGAAATAGCATACTTTAGTTGCTCAATATAGCATTGGTTTGATTTTACAAAAAAAACTTATCATCATTTTTCAATTTTAATGATCATTATGTTATCTCATGTGAAAACTTAATTAACAATTATTTTCCACAATAATTCCATTGGCTGTACCATTGATTTGGTTGGCTAAATTTGTCACTTGTAAAAGTCTTTTATAAGCAGAACCGAAACATCGTACACGATTATCTTCAAGTGTCAATGACTTGACTCGATTAATATAAATTACGGTTCCATCATCTATTCCATGATCACTGCCACGATTATTAATGTTGTTTTGTCCATAAGAAAAAAATATTTTTTCTAACAGAGACATATTTTAAACTATCAAGTACCATTTGTACACCATCATTGTTTGAAAAAAATATTATTTTCAATAGTTAATGTATGATGTCCATAAGCAACCAATGATCTTCCTGTTTCATAAATAGTTAAAACACCTCCTTGTTCAGTCCAAGGTCCACTTGTAGCATAACCACATCTAGTTAAAGTATTAATGCGAATAATAACTCTTTCTGCATAATTTCATTCACCCCACCATAATTCTGGTTGCATAACAATACCAGCCATTGAACTACCATCAATTTTATTTGATTCAATCAGTCCATCAAGTGCTTTTACTAAAATTCCACGAGCTCGATGATTAAGAATGAAATTACCTCGTAAAACGTATCCTGATCCAGTATGATTAATATTCGAAATAATATCATTAGGAAAAATATTTCCATTTAAATTGGTATTCAACTCTAACTCAAAATAATAATGATTATCGTTAAAATGTGGCCATGATAAAGAAATGACTGGAAGGTAATCCTAAGGCAATTCTCGAACTCGTAGAACATGAGTTTGACCTCGAGGCATACCATCATCACCAACAACAACAATACGATCACCTATTGAGTATGGAATCTTTCGTCATTTACTCATACATATAACTATCTTTCCATTAACTTGTCTAATGAACTGATATTCACCATTTATAGCAATACCATCATCAGCCATTCGAGTGAAGAATGAATTGAGAATGGTTGGACCACGGTGAACACTAGCTGAATGAAAACCATCTGCATTTGAACTCATCAAAGGTTCTGTAGTAGCGCCTATAGGTTTTGGTCCAGGTCGAGCACTAATTCGTTCATACCGATTATTTCCTTTTCCTTCAGTTTCAAACCAAGCAAATAAACCAGCAAATTCAAGATGAACATCAATAAAATTCATTAATTCACAAATTTCACTAATTATTCCAAAATCACCTTTACCACGCATTGAAACTAAATCACCAATTGCAACGCTTCCTCCAAGATTATCATTAAACATTACTTCAAATCGACGATGATCAATTCGACTAATACCTGTACTATAATAGTCATAACTTTTGTCTTTTAATTGACGTGTATTTCGATCAAATACATAATAAGCTGTAGCTACTGGAAAGTATGTAGAATTATCAAGTGTTCTTGGATAACCATCGTCAATATTTGTTACAAATGATCTTTGATTTATGGATTCACTATGACCTTGAGAAAATGGAATAATATCATTTCGAATTGTCAATGCATCACGTACAGTAACATTGTAACAACCATAGAAAACCATACCTCGTTTTCGATTGTCTAACATTACGAGAGTAACACCATTTGCATTGATTACAAAATTTCTTAGGTTTGTGAACAAAAGATTAGCATTTGGATGATCATTGAATGGAATACGATAGATACCTGGTGCAATGGTAACTGAATCTAATCTTTCTTGTTGATTAGCAGCAAGAATAGCTGATTGAAGAGTACCTGGATCGGTAGGATTGATTATTTTACTGTAAACAATGTTCTTGCAAAAGCAAAGATAGATGATAGGCAAAACAATTCGTCACATCATTGGTGAATTGACTTGTGTCATCTTTTGTTCTGAATTTTATAGAATGTTTTAACTCTCATATCAAATAAAATTGATTCACTAGAACATTCATTAAAAATGGATTTTTCACTTTGAAATAATTGTTTTTTAGGATTAGATTCAAATTTCAGAAAGAAAAGAACGTATTTTCAATTAACAGAAAATATGTATCTAATTACCATTCCTTTCATAAAACATGCAGTTGGAAAATAATTTCTGTTTTTGTTGAGAGTATCTTTAAAAATAAATTTCAAAGAAAGACGAAAAAAACTTTCACTTTACATGTCTACGTTTGATGCATATAGAAAACCTTTATCGAATATGTACAATAGTAGGTTTCGAATAGCACAAAAGACAATTCAAAGAGGAAGATGAGTGTCCTTAATGAGTCCTAGGCACACTCGCACTCATACTTGCAAGCAAGTCAAATATTTCAAGCGTAGATGGATGTACAGGACGATTCGCACCGAAAGCATTCACACATTGTGTTTCAATTAGTGTCACTAAAAACAATGCAGTTTTGATTGAATCACTAATCGTTAACATTTTCAACCTCAGCCTGATAATTCAATACTCATATATGAGAAATAAGGTCTAGTTCATCAAAGCAGAATATAAATTAAGCGCAATCAGTACAACCCACATCATTTCAAGAATTTCACTGAACATCTGAAACCTAGCATAAGTGTAATTGAGTTCTCGTTTAATCACTTTAGCTTACTCTGCATGTGCGTAGAAATTCGACTTTTGAAACAAATTGAAGTTATTCTTGTCATTTTTCAATGAGGGTGTGCGTGTGGGTATAGGTGTGAGTGTGGGTGTGGGTGTGGATGTGGGGTGTGGATGGGATGTGGGTGGAGTGTGGGTGGAATGTGGGTGGGGTGGGTGGGTGTGGGTGTCGGTGTCTTCGTTTCATTCACACCCACATCCACACTAAAAACGTTTCTTCGAGAAAACGGACATGCAAAATCAAAAGAATATTCCAGCGTTTGTATTTGGATTTGGCTTTTGAAATAAAAAGGAATAATCAGTTGATTCGAAATAAAAAATATGATATTTGTTAGAAATCATCAGTTTTGTTACATTTTATAAACAGTGCATTTGAAGTAGGAGCAGTGTAAAACTTCAAGTTGGGCAAGCCTGTTGCTTTTATAATAGTAATAGTTCATTCCTCTCAGCATAAAATATAAGTCTGAAAACGTTCCTGCATAAATAAATAATAATTTCGTATGAATAGAAGAAGTCAGGATACTTTTTGAAAATCGTTAAATGACCATAGAATTATTTTTTCACTATGAAAGTTTCCCCAGAGGAACATCAAACAGCTTTGTTCGATAACTTCTTAGCCATGATCTGCAGTCTCTTTTTATCAAAGAGAAATGTTGTTTGAATTTCTCACAAATTTCAGCTTCTCTAAAATATACATTCTAGAATCTTACAGTAAAACACGAAGTTTGTGTTCCTAAAATTATATGTAGATAAACGATGTGAGTGGGTGTGGAAGTGCGCCTCACAAGTGGAGTCACCTACCCACACTCACATTAGCAGAGCTGGGCAACTCAGCTAAAAATGGGGGTCAATTCAATTCAATGCAATTCTTTGACCTTTCCAAACTTTGTCTGATTCAACTGAAAACAATTCATGGATCTCTATAAAATATTTCAACTCAATTCAATTCAACTAGGGTCATGAATTAAATTGACTTGAACTGAGTTGGCCGTTTTTTGAGTGAAGTTGCCCAGCTCTACACATTGGCATTCGAAAAACAATAGAACGAATCAAAAACAACGCATAAACCCAAAGATTTTATTAGATGGTGATATTCTACCACTCATGTATTATAAGGCGAAATAAATTGCAAAATCGATTCAGCTTTTTTTTTTTACTTACAAATTTTCGTTTTGATTCAATCATTCACGTATTTTTAGTTAAATAATTTGGTTTTATGCTCACGTCTTGTTTGTTTTCGTTTTATATTTAATCATTCATCATAGAACTTACCTTCAAAAATATGAACTAGTTCACACGCTCATGGTAAATCTGATAGATGAATGCGCAACAAATCGTATGAAATAGAAACATTATCATATTGTTGTTCTTGTTTTTCATCTTATTGACGTTCATCATCATTTTTTGTTTCTGACAGAAATAGAACTTTTGCATAACGTCGTGAAAAATGCCATAGAATTGTATATTTAGCATTGATTCGATAACCAACATCAATGGCTTGAGCCATGGTACAATGACGCATTTGTGAAGCATAAACTTCTAAACCTGTTTCCAATTTTGATTCATGAATAAGAACATTCACATTTTGACCTACATAAAAAATAAATGTAATGATCAAAATGAATTAAGAGATAGATTTTATATAGGATGTCATAAAGATCATTTTTCTAGAAATCTATTATTGATTAAACTCGGTCGCTGGCTTTTTTCTCATATGATAGTTGAGTTTATTGCGTTTTTATTTCTACAGTCCATTTAGAAAATTATCATTCAATGATATCATCTTTAAATAAAATTGAGCAATTTTTTTTGTATTTTCACAAGGCATTCTGAAGGATTGTTCTTTTTTCTGATTATTTCAAGTTTTTAGAAATATTCTCTTGTCTAAATTATCGGGATCTTGAAAATTCATTTTATTATGCCTCATGAAAAGAGATCTATATAATATTGTAAAATCGAATGAAAACGAAGTTCATGAAACTCAGTCTATCAATTATCGAGTGTTTCGTACAATTAGAATAAAATTACCTTCGACTACGTGCATCATAAAGTCTTCCGACATGAATCAAAACAGGTATTTTCGAGTGTGAAACATATTGCTTGACTAATATGAAGATTCTAACTTATCGAGGATAACTACACTATGAATAACTTCTTTAAAAAAAACTCGTTTTCACAATAACTAAACATGCTGAAGAACATTACAGATTAGAAAATCAGAGCAACAACACCTTTTCTAGTTCTCATCTATCTGGAAAAAACGTTCCATGATGAATAAGTTGAATGTTGTAGACTTAGTTTAAAACCCATTTGACATCATAGGATTTCTTTTTATGATTTAGCCATTAGAATAAAAGAGAAAAAAATTATCACAATATCTTTTGAAAAAATAGAAGAAAGGAATAAATTTTTGTATTTTGCTTCAAGATGTTATTTTTGAATAATACTTTTCATATTTAACTAGAGAAGGAAAAAACAAGTGATTAAGTTTCGTCAATAGTGAAGGATGGATGTGGGTCTAGGTCTGGGAGGTTATGGGCGCGGTTGAAGAGAAAACCAACAGCCATGCTCTGAACCCCACGCCACACGCACATCATCCGAATCAAATTGAACAGAATAGTTTCCATGAAATTCTTTGGAGAATAAAGAGCTGGTGTAACAATCACAACGCTAGTCTCATTGAATCGAGACTGAATTGCTCAATTCGAAATTATTATTTAATAAAATNTAATGAGTAGCAGATTTCATCAAATAAATGAGAACAATATTCTTCTGAGAAATATGTAAATCGTTGATATTTGATAGGGCCAAGAATTCTGATCATTTTAGTATGAGTGGGAGAAAGAACGAAACCCGCCGTGACCTATCACTAGGTCGTACATCCTTTGGATCTTTTCAATCCTATTCATCTCGCAATAGCATTGGCCGCCTATTTTTATTTCACTTTCTGCTAGAAAAAGGCAATTGATGTTTCACAATTCGGTTTATGCCCAAATTTATCAGGAAACTGTAAAAAATTGGCGAAAAGTATGAAGAATTTTCGCAAAAATCTGACATTTTAGGAAAGGTAGGAGAGAAGCGAGTTCCTCCCATCTTCTCTCCTTAATCGAGAATCTTAACTGGCACTCACAACCTTCGATAGATAATTGTCATTTTAAAATTCGTTACCTCGTCCAGAGATGGGTAACGTATCAAACATTTTATTAAGGAAATGTTAGTGACTGTAGCATCTGTAATGTAACACTCAATATTTATGCTTGATTATGATTGAAATTAAAAAGAACTATTTATAAAATTCATGCCCAGCTTCAAAAGAATAAAATAGCTAAGCAGAAATAGGAGTTGGTGTATGAAAATGTCCGAACTGCTTCTTCAAGTGTTCCACTTCGCCGCCATGTTTGCAAATAGCGACCCGCATCATAGCGAGCGTATTATGTGCCGCAGTACTATGCTCGTGTATACCACCATGAAATGGCACCGTAGCATCTTTGCCCACATGATCCTTGAGCAAATCACGTCCGCCCGGATGAGAGTCAATAAAATTGCTGACATCATGAACGAAACCAGCGATTAGGATGAGTACACGACCGGTATCTTTGCTGGCTAAGTCCTGATATTCTTCGAATGAAATTACGGGCAATTCCTCTTCGTCTTTAGGCCAAATTATAATTTTACCAAATTTGTCCAAAGCTTTGCGCTTCATGGCATATTCCCCCTTGCGAATTTCATTATCGGGAAATCTCTTCAGGTTGTAAGCTAGACCGAGTTTTTCGAAAAGCCAGATTGTCCATTTTGTAGGATCGTACTGAAACCACTTGAGTGCATTACGATAGTCACACGGAAACTCATGATGAAAATTATGATAACCTTCGCCGAGTGTAATAAAAGCTGTAATAAAATGATCTCGAGGAGTGTGCTTGTCGTCGAAAGTTGTATCACCTAAATAGTGTGCTAGTGAATTGACACAAAATGTTACATGATGAACAATCAATAAACGTAATACAGCAGCATAAAAGTAGCCACCACGGTAGTCTCCCCATCCAAGTCCACACACGAGCCATGGAAACACAAAACCCATGGTCACATTCAAAATGGCAAGATTTCTATATTGCCATTGAACACTAGGGTCATTAACCAGATCAGACATGTCCACGATACCAGATTTTCGACGCGGTTTCATCAATAACCATCCGATATGAGAATAAAAAAGACCTTTCTGAGCGCTGTACGGATCGAGATCGGTGTCCGTATATCGGTGATGTGCTCTGTGACCACGTACCCACCATAGTGCAGATCCTTGAACAGAACCAGCACCTAACAGAAGTAATATGTAGCGCAATGGCAAAATTCCTTGGTAAGATCGGTGAGCGAAGAGACGATGATAACCAGCAGTGATGCTAAGACCTGTGAGCCAGCCCCATATGAAGGTAAATACAAGCGTCTGCCACACGAAGGGCGTGGTACAAATGCCATAAAAGGCAATGAAAGGCTCACTACCGAGTACTATTGTTTTTGGCCAATCTACTTGCTTGTACCAGTTCGACCAAGTTAGAGGTGGCAGTTCTGGTTCGTGCAATAACGTTCGAGCCACATAGTTGTTCTTGATAATATATTCTTCTTCCTCGCTGGAAGTCGTTTTTAATTGCGGCAATGGTTTAGGTTGCTTGACAGTCAATATTGATAAATCCAATGACCTTGGTATATAGGAAACTGTAGAACAAGAACTTTTTGTTTTATCTTCTGCAAATATCATGTTTTATAACAATTGCAGAAGTGACACAAGTTTTTATAATATCTGAAGCACATAGTGAAAATACATATTACATGATTACATCCAGCTATATTTTTCGGGTATTTAAAGCATACTCATGAAACTATGAGATTGTGATAATATGATAAGAAAAGTTAGATGAAAAAAAAAGATACAATTCTTTATTTTCTTTTCATAATCAATTAAGATTACTTTTCAGACAAATTATCGCCAAAATACTTTCCAACAATCTCAACATCATCTTATGGATACACGTTCATTGTGGTCTATAATATTTTTATCAAGAAACTCTTTAGTATCACGTTTATATTCATAACTTCCAAAATCTGATGTGTAGATCATCTATCTATTGAATCCTAGGGAAATCGATGGTTTTATTGTTCTGCTGCATCGTGTCATTATTCAATGATAATTTCATACTAACAACATCATTTTATATGGTGGCTACAGATCTATTTCTTTTTTTTTGAAAAAAGTGGCTCATTTTTGTAAACATATATCTATGTTATGTTTTTAAATATTTACAATAGTTTCGATACATTGTATTTTTTATCTCAATGTTAAATAAACATCAGTTAAAATTTGAGCAAGAAAGTAACTGAATTAGATCGACAGAACAGTAATTGTTGAGAAAAAAATCAGATATTAGCAACAAATTTACCATAGACTATAAATCTAATAGAGTTGCATGTCTTAAAGTTGTGCTACTGGAAGTGCCGATGGAAATAAACTAAATAGCTTTATGTACTGAATACTGGCGATTGGATACATTTTCATTTCGCTTTTTCTCAAACCTTAATCGGGACAAATGACCAAACGTTTAATTGTTCAAATGCAATTACTGTTCTCTTTAAAATAGAATAGGTGTCGGAGAAGTTGAATAGCTCCGGAATGGAAAAGACTAGTTGCCTGCGGTTTTCACTACTTGGAAGTGGTCATCAGTCGACGTCAGTGTATGCCATAGTAAAAAATTTGGAAAACGATTTTATCGATTTTCTGGCAGGCCCTTAGGAGAACCGCCTTGTCAATCAGGAAAGCTTTATTTTGTTTTTTCACCGTAATTTTTTCTGTCTTATAGTCCAGAGTCTACTCTACAAAGCTATGGAAGCCGCAGATGCTTTCATTTTTCGGTTCGAGTGGTTGAGCTCATACATCGACACCGCTTAAAATCACGTCTTTTTTTACTTACCTCCGCTCAAATTTGCAAGAAAACATAAAGTCTTACTCATACTGAATCTCCTGACAATGTTTGTTTTCTTCTTCAGATAGATCAACAGTTGATAGAGAAAGATTAGCAAAGCAGGTGATTTTTGACTCCTTCTGCTCTTCAACGAGATGATTACAACTCATCTAGTTCATAATCGATTGAGTTCAAGTTTTTAGCACAAGCATGTAACACGCTGCTTTGCAAGAATAAGTTGTTAGAAAACAGAAATTGTTCTATGAGAAAAGCTGGTATTTCTAGAGAATTCTAGAGAACTTATTGATTTTTAAATGTGACAATCACTTTTCTATTGCAGAAATTTTACAGATAAGCATCTTAAAAGCCTGCTCTGAAAATTTTAGATTATTCAGTTGAGAGCTAGATAAATTTTGATCATCTCATTGAACGGCAGAAGGAACCGAAAATCAACTGTTTTGCTAATCTTTCTCTATCGACCTTTGATCTATCGGAAGAAGAAAACAAACATTGTCATCAGATTCAGTATGAGTAAGAACCTATGTTTTCTTGCGAATTTGAGCTGAAATGAGTAAAAACAAAAAGCGTGGTTTTTAGGATTGTCGGTGTATGAGGTCCACCACTTGCACGGAAAATCGAATCAATCTTCGACTTCTGTACCTTTGCAGAATAGACCATCCACTACAGAACTGATGAATGACAGTGAAAAATAGAATAGAGCTTTCTTCATCAGCAAGGTGGTTTTCTGAAGGTTCCACTAGAAAATCATAAGGATCATATTCCAAATTTTTGAATTTGGTATAGATTGATATCGCTCTATTTTCATTTCCGAGTGACGAAAACTGCAGACTGCTAGCTATTTGCGTTTCGGACTTCTTCAACTTCTTTCGGCACAGATTCTATTTTGAAAGGAAAAGCACAAACCCGTCCATGTGTCATAATTTTCGCGATCTATAAATTTATTTTCTTAACAATAAGAGAAACGCGACAGTTGGACTGATAGAATAATTAGTACATACGTCATGTATAACCACGCAATATCTCATTTAAACCCTTGACAAATTTTTTTAATTATTTCCAAGTTGAACAAAATTTATACGAAACATTTGACGCAAATAGAAAAGAAAATTTTTCTTCCTAATTCATTTCTTCGGTTGGCAAATATGAACAACTTATTCCCAATCTGAACAACTAGAATAATGTTGCATCTTTTTCTTCTTATTATAATAAAGAATGAGAAAACATTTACAGTTAAGCATAGTACGATGGATCACCATACAAAGACCAACAAGACTAGTTAAAGATCAGACAAATATATATCGAACAACAACAGTAAGAAGATAGTTTGAAGGTTAAAGGACAATAATGAGAAAATAAAGATTCATTAGAATTACTGTTATTATAATGATTATTTTATTTTACTTGTAATGGATAATACAAATACTATTAATTTCTAATAACATGAAAGATTTCAACTTTTCTTTTCTTTCTGGAAGTAAAAGTGTCATCACTAGATAACACAAAATAATGAAAAACCAAAGTTCTTTTAAGATAAAAATAGATTCTTGTAGAACTCTCACCATTTCTGTATATTTGAAAGTTTTTAAGAAATATAATTGCATTCTAAACAATTATAAAAAATAAAATGATGTTTCATCGCATTTCATTACAAAACCTTTCAACATATTACTAATACCTTTCCTGGAAAAACCCACTAAATGAGTATGCATGAGCCATTTCGTTATGATTAGATTTAATAATAGATTTATTTTTGTTTTTTGGAAAAGTTTACTTTTCTATCAAACAGATTGATTCGAATTCAGAATCGTGGGATGTATTTTAAGTTCACTTAAATTATGTACAAGTAATATAAACAGAAAAAGTTTTTAGTCTATTCTCTTTTTATTTTGGAAAAAGAAAACACCAATACAAAAACGTTACAAACGCTGTCCATCATTCGGTAATTGAATTCCAAATTGACATAAACGTCATTTATATTTTCAAGTATACCGATATGTCAAGCAGAAGCAACATACTGGTGCGTATTAACATCATTACTTGTAGAATATACAATAACTAGTCCTTCAATAGAGTCAGGATTTATTGTAAAATTCAGAAAAATCACATGATAAAAAAAAACAGAACGCACAACCAATATACTATTTTTATATGGTGCTAAACATTCAGTGCGCAAATAAATTTGTTTTCCTCTCTTTTTACATATGATTCAATAGAGAATGAATCATTCATCTCGAAAATTTAGTTCTCCGCATTTATAGATGTTCTTTTCAGACCGAAAAAAATCAAAACTGACAAGGTATTGCTTCATGTCGAAAAATACACTTCTGCCAAAAAGTGAAGCATTTTACTTTTGCTTCTCTTTGTTTGTCATCTTTTTAAAAATACTTCTTCTTTAATTTAGCGTTAAAAAAGTGAGTAAACATAAAATGTTAAATTCACGTTAGCTAAAAATATTCTTTTTGGTAATGGTGCGGCGAATCGTCACCAGTGGAATGTATCTACTGTAGGCATGTCACCAGTCATCAAAATATGCGTCACTTTTATTATGTTGTCCCATTTCTCATAACATCCATTTTTTTTGTAAATTCTGAACCAAGAGCCAAAATGCTTCCTACAATTGTATATTTTCTCCATGAAAACTAAATATTTATGCAATAAAGTTACCTTATTCAAATTTTGCGTGAAAAGCTATGATCGTCGATGTATCATTCCACATTGTTCGTCGTTTGTTTCTTCATGACAGTTTCCAGTATCCCTTTAATATGAAAATTCGAAAAACTAAAGTCGTTAAAAATCATAAAAGAGTACACCAATTGTCTCCATTTCCACGTAGATTTTGAATAGGGTAATTTTACTGCATAAATATATAGCTTTTATGGAGAAAATCTATAATTGTCGGAAGAATTTTGGTTCTTGATTAAAAATTTGAAAAAAAGAAAAATGGGTGTTATGTGTAATGAGGTAATACAATAAAAGTTATGCATACTTTGGTGACTGGTGATAGAATCAATAGAACAAGATAAAATATTAGCTTTCTTCACTCAATCAACAAAACTATATAGATAGGTTTACCAAATAAAGCCTACGGTAGATACTCATTCCACTCGTTACGATTCGAGGCATCACCAAAAAAAAAAAGAATATTTTTTGTTAAAGTCAATTTAACATTTTGTGTTTACTCATTTTTTTAACACTGAATTAAAAAAAGTATTTTTAAAAGGTGGCAAGAATAGGAGAAGCAAAACAATATGCTTCACTTTTTGAGAAAGGTGTGTTTTTCGACATGATGCTATACCTTCTGATTTTTAATTTTTTTTCGGTCTGAAAAGAACGTCTATAAATTCGAAGGACTAACTTTTGAAGATGAGTAATTTATCATCTATTGAATCATATATAAAAAAGAGAAAAAACAAATTACCTGAACATTGAATCATCTGTAACTTTTTTTTTACTTACGTAATTAATATGTACAACCAGGTATAATATTGCGACTCTTTCAAGTGTGACGATCATATATTTGCGTTTTGCATGTTGAATATGTCTACGTAATTCATCTAAATTATGTGACAATTGCAAGAAAATTTGTACGCATTCACTTTAATGTACCTTGGACTTTGGATTGCATTGATACTTCTATTACAGCTGTATAATTAAAGTACAAATATTTAACAGGATCACTGACAGTGAATAACGCATTGTAGTATTATGTACAAGTTGGACAAACTCAGCACGACGAAAAACTTGCTTTATGAAAGTTGTAGTTTGAACATCGATGCATGTGAAAAAAAAGAAATCGTCTTTGCAAGAAGAACAAAAATTTTCTGATGAAATCACAGTTGTACGACTTTTTATATTTTTCTCTGGAAGCCTTATTTGCTTGTAAGGTGAATTAAATTATCACTGAAAGTAAAATTAATGTGTAACTCTGTAAAAATTGATATTTTTTCTTTCTTACTGATACATAAAACTTCGCCAAGAACATCTATCAATATGTAGAATGGTTGGTTATCTGCCCGCAACATATTGTTAATCGTACCGAATAGTCACCTTCGTTTTCAAAAGAGACCAATTTTCTGTTGAATGTTCAGGTGCAAAATGAGAGCGTATGTTAACTAAACAAGTAATGGTATGACGACTTACATGACACTATTATATAAATACATTATATTCTTCTGTTGCATTTCGTTTTATACTACTATGAAGGAACACGTCATATGTTCTGTCTCTGACTCACTTCGTGTTTTTCTCCTCTTAGTCACCTGCAAATCATTGCTTTAACTTATAAGTACTTGTATTTTTTTCATTACAAGATCACGTAGTTTTGCCAAAAAATCGATACGAAATTTATGTAATATTCAAGTATGTTTATTTTGTTCTCACTGTGTTAGTAAATACACTAAAAATTTCAGTCAAAAACGGTTAATATCTTGTGCAAATATAGAATGATGAAGAAATTTAATTTTTTGACCTTGACTTGATTGCAATATACTTTTGGAATATTTAGAATTTCGAAAAAAAATATATTATCTTGACTGAATGTTCTACTAAAGATAGAAAGTCTAGTTAAATGATAATATTTCGAAAAAGACAGTGTTTAAGTAACTTCATTAATGAAGTGTTCGAGGCATTGCACTACTTGTTTCATCAATGTCGTCACGTTACAAGTTTACTTCTCTTATGTACTGCACACGCTTATACAGAATGTAACAAAAATCATTACACTCCCTCTACAACTTATAGTATAAATGATATCACAAAGTGTTTTATACCAAATTAATGCTCATCAAAAACTGAATCTATAGACATGATATTTATATATTTTTGAGGAAAAGAATTTTTTTTTTTGAACTGTCTCAATAAGAAAAAGATTTGATGCTCTCAAAGCTGCTAAAGAACGTCATACAAATTTCTAAAATTTTTTCATAAACGTACATTTGTGAGAAGTTAATATTTTTTAATAAATTGGAAACTCTATGATTTACAATTGAAGCTAGTGAAGAGGCATGATAGTTCTTTTATAGACCCGGTATTATAAAATCTATGGCATTTTTATGCCGAAACAGGCTCGTATTTTGCACATTTTACTTTTTTTTATTACATTTTTCAACAAAAATTATATCAAATGCGTGATCTCCGTCAAAAACTGCGTCTAGTGATATTTGAATCGAAATATTTCAGTTTTTGATGAGCATTAATATAGTATAAAATACTTTGTGATATCATTTATACTTTAAGTTGTAGAAGGGGGTGTAATGGTTTTGTGACATTCTGTAGAACAAGTCTTTGGATGCATTTTCTGTCAAATAATGGGTTTATACATTTAACTTGTCTACGAATAATGATTTCTCATAGATTTTCATATTGTCGAACGCAAAATTCAATATTGAACACAATGGTTTAATTTTTCGGCATTTTTCATATTTTCCATTCTAAAAATTTGAAAACTACATCAAACGATACAGGGTTTGATAAAGAATCTTTTAGCGTACTCGAAATCTAAGAAATTTTTTTTCAAAAATTTTCCTGGATTTCCTCATTTTTATGACATCCGCATTAGTACAATTGAGTATACATTACTCTTATGAACTTTACATTAACATTGATGAAACTTTGTAGAAAAATCGAACAAATCGTTTTATCGATAATTAACTTGTCGAACGAATGCATTCAACATTGTGTTTTTGAATGGTTATTAAATTATCTCAAAGATTCAAAATAAACGTCAAATATTCATTATGCCCATTTTGTTAGACAAGATAGAAAATCCTATTTAAAGCGATTTTTTTTAAACTGTTAAAAATATTGTAGAAGACAACATTTTTTTCACTTGAGTACGATTGTTCAAGAATTTTTTTTTTCGTTTAACTCGTACAATTTTGATCTTTTCTATGTTTGTATATAAAAAGAATCTTAATTGATAAACAAGAATCTAGAAAGAACGATGGCAAGAATGTTTATTACTGTTATAGATAACTAGTTAAATCAATAATATCATAGTAGCAATTGTAAAATGAAGCACATGTACTCAATTGCTTAAATATATTTTTTGATGTTCTTTTCTTAGGAGCTGATAGAAAATCACATGATCGATTTTTTGATTATTTTAGACTACCATCTGCTTCCTTTTGATCAATAGTCATATTTTTGTGTCACCCACCGTGATGTGAGGCGCCATGTTCCATATAAAATAACTTTACTACAAGTAAAATAGTCAATGCACAAAAGATAGAAAAAAATTGATTATATGATGTGATCAAAAATCCATTGTTATTAATTTTCAGACGATTAAAAATCTGATGTTTTCCATCTTTTTTATATAAAATAAATACATAATCTAAGTGCATATTATCTATTTTAAACTATTACTATGTGTTGATCAATTTTAATTATACAAATTGAAGATAAGTGGCTTTTTCGAGACTCTAACTTGAAATCACAATTTTTGATAATTTTTAGATTGTTCGTGCTTAGAGACAAGGAAGTCGTCGCTAAGCTAAAATCTGTATAAATTGTTTCACATTGAGGTGATACAATTACTTCCGAAGTCAATGAAAAATAAGAAATTCAATACAAATCAATCAGGGTTTTTTACTATTGTCTTAAAACTATCAATTTCAATTTGAATGTTTATATCTGAAAACAATTGTTTTCTACTTGACTATTCAGATTCAAATCACTCTACATACGATCATTTAAGTCATACTTACCAGACGAACTACTTTTGCTGATTTGAAAATAAATTTACAACATACTATTAATAAATGAACGCTAATTACATATCAAGTTGCAAAAACGCAATAATTAAATGTTAAGCATTATTTATATTTCAAATTTAGAATTCATTTGATCCTCTCATAACCTTTGGTAGATTATTGAGATCTTGAATGAATAAAATCGAATTTAATGAATTGAGTGTAAAATCAATTACTTACAAAAAAACGATTTTTATTTTATTTTTAATCATTTTTTCGATGGATAGTCTTTCTATCAAGTACAAGACCCATACTATCTCACTTCTGTAAATATCGATAGCCTGTGGTGATCCTGTTCCAAAAGCAAAAAAACAAAAATTTTGCAGTCAAGGGTATGGGTATGGGTGTATCTTTCCTTTACCGAAATACCCAAATCCCGATAATTTTCAATATTATCACTAGTTTTCGAATTAAATTCGTATTTTAGAAGATCCGTCATATTCATCTTTGTTCTTTAGTATAAAAAAGCAAAGGACATGAAAAACTGTTTCATTAATGCTCATTGGAACTTAAACTTGGAAAAATTTTTTCCATTCTAAAAAACATAATAAAAAAACCTCATTTCATTTGTCACGTTATCTATGAGAGAACAACCAATCTTTCAAGATAGTTCAAATTAAATATAAAAATCAAAATTCAGAGTATGCTACTTCGAGTGTCAGTAACTGCAATGAAGATCTTAATGAGAGTGTAGTAGTGGTTATGAATGTGAGTCTTCTCTTCGCTCGCAACCATATCCGTACTGAAATCCATACCCACCTACAATCAGACTTACAAATCTTAGCAATGTCTCTCGTCTTTTCTTTTTAATTAATATGCACAATCAATTTGTTTATTTCAAAATATTCTCTAGTATAAATGATAAATATGTCTGAAAGAATCAATAAAATATTTGTCCAAATTTCATTTGTATGTAATCAAATATTCAGCATATGCTTGAGCATCATGATATGTAACAAAAATATGATCTCCATCAGTGGTTGAATCAAATCCAAGTGGTCGAGTTTTCATTGAACTATCTCCTTTCGTGGTCTTTCCTATCAGAACTCGTGCTATAAATATACATCGTTCTTCGTTTGTGTTTGTTTTAGTAAATCCATGGCTATATGTTGCATTCGATGAAAAATAAACACCCAAGCCATAACGAATTCCTACACATAAAACCGACTCAAAATTCTAATACAAAAAAAAACAATGGTTAAACTTACCATTCACTCCAGCAAAACTTCTGTTAAAACACTCTTCGATAATTGAATTAGCGGCTTGTTCAGGACAACCGTGATATAAACGTTTTTCCGTATCTTCGCAAAGACGTTTTTCAAAATCTTCTTTATGTGCTAAATATTGCATATACCATCGTACATTTTGAATTCGTTCGATTTTTATTATTTCTTTATATTTTCCTTTCATTGACTGAGCAAAACTACCAACGATTGATGTGTATTCAGCTTTGTTGATGGGCAATATAAAGCGATTTTTATGTTCCATTAACTTCTCCCATGTTGATGGAAGATGATAAATCTTTGGTTTCTGAAGACCTAATCAAATTAGTTTTTAGAAAAATTTTATATGCTGCAGAATTATTTTTCACAATGACGTTTTTAACTTTAATTTTCCATTTAATTTGAGACCGGAAATTAGATCAGCGTTGTATTTAAAACAGTAAATTTCGATCCTATGTCTTTTGAAAATGCTGCTTCACTTTTCTTCGTATTTTTAGCTTGTTCTCAGAAACAATTTTTTAAATTTCTTTTAACTGTCTGATAGACAAACTCTCTAATTATAAGAAAATCAAGCTTAGTCACATTTTATAGTACAGAAAATAAAGATTAGCAGAATCACATTAGTTATAGTTTAAGTACTTATTAGTGAAGACCGAAGGCTGACAGGAGATTTTTGTTATCTATAAATCGAATATGAAATTATCAATTTCTTTTTTTTTTTTTGAAGTAACAATTTTAGAAAAACATTTTGCATGTATGATACTAAAAGAAAGTATAGGCTAAAAGTTAGACATTACAACATTGTACTTGCACGTCCTGTTGAACAAAGAACATTATACAAATTCGTACTGATGCTTCCTCAAAATATGAATTATTGTAGCAAAAGCAACTAAATCATCGTTTACACTATAAAGGATCATAAGTAATAAAGAAATACGGATCATATATAAACCAAGATTGTGCTCTTTAAATTTACAGGACAGTTAGAGTTCAAAACACCTATTTTTCCAAAGGGTTTTCTCAGCACACTGAGTGAGTTCTAAGTTAGCTATAATGATATTTTTGATGACATAACAATCGGCTAGTCTTTTCACCTCATCCGAGCTTTCGATGGCTATGGAGATCGGGTTTACCCTCATTCTGAAGCGTAAAGCACATTCGATCTGAATCTAACGTTTCGATTTACTTTCAATCCAGATCTTATTTCCGTCCTAATTATGTTTCTCCATTAATCTTGGTAAGATTAATACTTATATATATAGTAGGTGTACAGAACAGTGCTTTGCAGGATAAAATAGTGTTTAACAGTTTCATTATACACCTGTTAGAAATTGTTTTGCTCGCATAAAATATTGATAACCTGTTTACAACAATGTAATATTATCTCTTGAAATACAAATATCTCAAAGCGCTAGTCTATAATCATAGTGTAGTCTAAATTCATCTGCTCAGAACTATTTCGATTTACTAGTTATTACACGATTATAGTATAAACTAGATGCATACTCTGAGCTCTAGATCTTAAACTATCTATTTGTAGAAATATGCCTTGTCGTACAAATAAAATAGAGCAGTTAACGCCCTCGTTTAACACAGATCTCCCCATAATTAAAACTACTAGCAATAAGGTGATTGCATATTAATTACTTTAGATAGAGCATGCTCCATTTTTATATACAATATGATTTCTATAAGATCCAATTTTTAAGGATGATTTCATTAATATTTTCGAGCATCTATAAGAAGTTATATATGTCTACATTTTTCCCATAAAGGCGAACGAAAACTATAATATGGCTATTTAAATCTTTTACATTTAAGATAGAGGAAATTTTCTATTTTACCATCATCTGTTGTTAATACTTGTTGACAAAACTCATCATAAACATTTTCTTGGTCACGTCGCACAACAAATTTTACTGTCCAAGATAATTTTCTTTCAATAAGATGCTTTTTCATTTCTATGACCATTGTTTTAACTACAATATCAACTGAACAACCATGTGCTCCGCATCCAATAGCTGGAAATGCAATCGACGTAAATTTATGTGATATCGCATTTTGTACGACACTAGATATAAGATCACCAAGAGATTGTTGAAGTATCTTTTCATCATTATTAGGTTTCCATTTCACAAAAAATATTTGTTTACAGGGTAAATTTCCTGATGTTATTGTCATTAATACAGAATTTGGATGATTTTTTAATTCGGTATCATACGCCGTTTGACTTTCCTTGCCAGCTGCCTTAAGTATTTCTTTTCTTAAAATGTTTGATGATGAACTACCAATAATAACGTCTACCTATCAAAGATGTTTAGCAAAGGAATGAAAACCCACTAAAATCGTACTAGTTTTTTTTAATACCTTTTCCTTTGTAATATCTCCCATTTCAACTGCAATTACTCCTTTTTCAAATGTTGCATGTATTGTTCGAAATTTATCAGATAATGATGGTTGTATAGACTTCAATGAATTAATCTGATGTCTAAATTCATCATAGATATCCGTTCTATCTTGTTGTATTACAAATGAAACTGATATTTGATGCATGTTTAATTGACGATAAACTTCTTCCACCATAGCACGTGCAACAAGACTAATTGAACAACCGAACTGACCACAACCAATAGCTGGGAATGCAATACTTCGATAGTTATGTTTCACTGCTTCTTCTAAGGCATCCGAAACAAAATTTTCAATGGATTTACAAAGAATAGATTCATCAGAATTTGCTTTCCATGGAAGAAAATATATCATTTTTGATGCAAGTTGTCCACCAGCTTTAACGGCAATAAGTGAAGCTTCAGAATTTTTCGTGAGTTGTGCGTTGTATGAAATTAACACTGAATCTCCACCAGCTTTACAAATGCTGTTAAATAAATACTTTGATGTTGAACATATAACTATAACATCTGTCTAATAAATGAAAAACAAATATTTTACGTCATTGATTTATGTTTCCCAGATTTTAATCACCCGTTGTGTTATCAGATCACCTTTGCAAACATCAACTGATGAATCCAAAATTTTATTATTAGTTGAAGTCTATAGCAGACAAAAAAAATATTTCTAGATTATGTTTAATGAAAAGCATGGAAATATATGAAAAGTGCTAAAGATCATCAAATAACGAATAAACTTATTGTACATTTTGGAATTCGTCTAATGACTAACATAATTCAAAATATTCATCGTTTGAAACTACATGCGAATATCAGGTTGATAATACTGTGTTTAGTATGATCTATCTTCATCTCGATTATGAAATAGGAAATATCTATTTAATGATGTCGAAACAACTACTCAAATATGCTGTTACCATATATAAATTGTTGAGAATTTCATAGATCAATCTTAAGCTTTCACATGATGTATTTTCATGTTTTTGTAGTTAGAACCGATCAGAGTTTTTCATCTGACCGATTGAAAAATCTTGACTATATTAAAATTTCTATTAGTCACTACTCCAATTATAACCTATGACGTTTCTTAGGTTCTAACATCAAGGATGAACAAAGATGTTTTTGAAAACATGCATTTAAAACATCGAACATCATCTAAATTATGCTTTCGCTAACTTTTTTTCAAGAATCATATGAATTGTTTACATCGATAAGTTTGATCTATTCTTAATAAAAAAAAACAAACTATGATTCAACAACACTGAAAGATATCTGAAATCGTAAAAGAATACTATTGACGATCAAAGGATAAAGTCAGTTCAAACGTACGGTTTTATATAGAAATTTCTATTTTAAGATTTCTTAAAACTAGACTGTAAGAGAATTTGTTTAAAGTAGTCCAGAAAATTGAGTTCGAAATACGAAGATAAAAAAATCTTAAACGTAGACCAAAAAAATTAACTTTTTATGAGCATAGTAAATTCATTTAGCATGACTCAACACTTTCATTCTACTATGACAGAGTGAAAGTTCAACATGCAGAGGTAGGATTTTGAAAGCGACTACTGAGAATATTTCAGTTAGAGGCTTCTAGGCTACTTTTTCTTGATCATTAAAAACGAGCAAAAGGAGCCAGGTTGAATGCCCCAATAAATCAATAAAAGAAACCGATGACAAATAATCATTTTTAATATTTCATCGAACCACAACGGAAGGTGGCAAAGGTATCGGTCGCACTCGAAGTATACTATATGGTAATAATATACTAATCCATATTACGCTACTGTCAATAATCTAGATATTTAAATGTTGTAGAATATGAACTAATCGTTCTGGAAAAAATAGCTAAACTTCAGTTTGATTCTATATTAAGTAACAGTTATGATTACTATATTCATAAGAAATAGGATAAAAATCACTTAATAGTTTTTCAAGTTATGTATTGATATATAGAGTTATGTTATTACTAAAAGCAGTTTGAATTACTAAGAATTTTTTGAAACCATTAAAAGGCTCGTTCAAGATAGATATATTCTCCTCAAGTAACGCCGGCAGAGTTTCATCATGTTTTTAAAAATCTTCAATCGAATAGAATCATTTCATCAATAAGATAACGATTTATCTTGAGTCTGAGAGAGTAACTGATGTCGACGTTCAATAATTAGTTTAGAATAAAGCTAATGAGTTTACAAAAGTAAGCTGTCGTTGACATTATCTTTGCACTGTTATTTTAAGAGCAAATATTGATAGACAAAAACAAAATAATTATCGTTGTGTAGGCTCACAACAAAGCAGCTGCGATCTATTTTAGGATGACTTGTACATACTTCGACCGGTTTTAGTCTGTAGGATGTGCCTCTAACTCAAGCTTAGACTTTACATTTGTTCGAAGGTCAGTCTATCGTTTTTATAAAGAAAATTTTTCAATCAGATCTGATTTAGATATTCGATGAATGAACTGTGATTATCCACGTATTATTGATTGACAAAAATTGAAACACTCGATACATAATTAAAGTCATTAAGTCAAATATTTGCTTTTAAAAAAAAAGTTAACACTAATTTATATGTCATTGGTATGAATTTCCATTCCAGCACAACTTTCGCTTGTGAAACGCGTGATACGTAATTATTTGAAGTGTTGAATTATGCTTTGAAAGTTTAAGATAGGTACAATTCGGAGATGGGCATGGTTCAGATTCAATCAAATATAACTAAATCTATTTAATTCTTGTATGAATTCGTTCGTCTAATTTCGAACAATTATCGACTAAACTCTTGTTCCCACAATAAAACACTATGGTCAGGTTTTGTCTTTCTTAAGCGAAGAAACACGGAAAAATATGAATAATTTCACCATTATGAATTTTACATTTTGTTATTCACTTTCTTTGCTTTACATATCGAGATACTGATCTAAACTCATCAATCTTAGTTTTTCTTTGAATTATAAGTCTGTCAAATAGCGTTTGCTAATACTCCGTTTGAACAAAAGTTCAAGTGAATAGAACCGAAAATCTTCAATTTATTAATAAATTCCGATGGACTTCCTATTGAAGAAAACTCGAGAACAATAATACTTAATAAAAGTTTGTCAGAGAAATACAGCCTCTCTTTTCTCATATGATATGAACCACTATGAAAATAGATTCTACTACTCAATATGATTCTACTTGTATTCAAACAACATGTATTGAAATAGTTTTGCTGACTTAAAGTTCGGTTGAAGTCTGTGTAGGTAAATTTTTGATCCCGCAGATTTTAAAGGAATGGAAATCAAGAAAAGAACTAGATGCTTCTTGGCAATTTTAAAACGTTCAAAATCAGGTACTTTCACCATTGAAATGTTTATAATGTACTATTTAGTCAGCTAATTCTCTTCATCTGTCGAATATGTGTTGTTGTGTTTTCATGACAAATGTTTATGGCGATGTATCTCATAGTTATATATATATCAGCTACTATATGTTAACTGATATTGTTATAAAATTACCGAAATGTATGGGTTGAAACCAAATATTTCTGCGCCTACCGAATGTAATTCTGTTTCATCAGTGTCTGAATAATTGTCGTCAGACATCTCAGAAGATACGTTCGCATCAAAATTATAAGCTCCATGACTCGACGGTGGCTAAAGATACTCAGTAAAATTAAATAGCAAATATCTAATTAAAATTACTCACTGGAATAGAAAATTCATCTTGATCATCTTGATAATGTGACTGAAAATTATCAATATTGGGTCTTGAAACCAATCCATCATCTATAAGAACTATGTTGTGATATGAAGAAAATCTTAAAATCCGTGCTGGTTAGAACCAATACTGTCCATATTGTCTATAGATGAGTAACACAAAACTCTGAATAAAGTACTCTCAAACGAAAGATCCGTCAGGTCGGCACTATTTCAGAGGTTCGCTCCAATCGTCTTTTACTTCACAAGCACACCATGTGCTTATTTTTATCACACTTTCCACCGGAGAAAACTAATCGAGAAGCGTCATTAAGCCTATCAATGGATATATGAATTCATTTCGTAAGAAAGTCAAAACAGCTAACATCAGGTTAAAATGTTTATTTTACAATTGTTATCGCCAATTAACTTTAAACAACATCCTTTTGCCATTAAGCAATGATATCTATTGGGATAATTATTTATGTTACACGGTGGTCTATTTTTATTTTAGTTTAAAACCATAAGAAAAAAAAGCTTGTTCGCGCAGCCCCTTTGGGGCTGAAATGTGGAACTCACATATACTCTCTAGATTCATTAAACTAATGCAAAAAACGTGAAGTGAAAAATCTCTCGTAGACTATAATTGTTTTGCACGATAATCAATCACTGAAATAATAAACTCTCTGATTTCTGCATTTCGAAGACAATTTTTTTATTTCATTTTACGGGCGCCCCATTTTTTGTTTTCATTGTTACTATCCGCTGATTATTTTTCATTTTTTTCTAAATTTGTTTTTCTTAATTTAACATTCTTATTATTATGATCATTGAAATAATTGACAAATAAGTCTGTTTTACATATTCATCATGTCTACAGCAGATTTTACACACTATCATATATATTAACCAAGTTAAAAATACTAATGTTCAATATTTTTCAAAATTTTAACTTGATTAATTTAAATTTTTTTTTCAAAAATTACAACTTGAACAATTTTCTGAAAAAAACTTGAGAAAATCTAACACCTTTTATTGTTGATTGCTAAGATCTGTAATGGGGTGGGGGGGAGGGAGCCGCCAACCTCGAACTGAAAACTTACACTCACTATTTTCTTCGAAAACATACGTGAGTTCCACAATAGGTACTCAATGTTCGATTGAAAATGGATATCTTATGCATCGTAAGAATTTCATCTATATTCATGCTGTTTTTACTTCACTTTCATGGAGTGTAGAGGCTGTCGATCTGAGTCTGAAATAGTACCGATGAGGATGTATGTTAGATTTTCTTTACTCACATTACTATTACGCGCCCACACATACACACACGTCACATTTGTATAGAAACGGAGATACACATTTGCTCATATGTTTATTCTCAAGGCACATGTCAGTCTACCTACGCCCATACCTAACACCCTTCAGTTAATGAAGCATTTTCTTTTATGCGCTGATCTGTAACAATTAGTTATATTTACCTTCATCTTGATCAGTAATTAGATTTGTTGATGATTTATTCGCGCGTAGACTTTGCTGATATGGTTTCGATTGTAATGGTATATTATTGGATTGAAAAAATTCATAGGTCTCCGTATCAACAACATATAATTTTACATGATGCTTTAATTTTGCTTGACGTAATTTTTGTGTAATAATTCTACTAGGCAGATTATCAACAAATTGATTATCAATTTCAAGAATTCGATCACATTTACGTAATGATGTGTTGCTAGCCGATGAATTTGGATATACTTCTTGAACGATCATACCAACATTTGTTAGAGGATTTACAGTGCCAAAACCATACGATGAATTGCTTTCACTTAAATGTATGTTACACGTACGTGGTTGATGTTTTGGAAAGCTTTGATAATCATTGGGCATTGTTGATGGTGTTTCTATGATTTTCGCGAGTTTGGTATTAATCGATCGATTATATTGTTGTGATGTGTTATAAGAACGTTCTTCCATAACAAGTAATTCAATATGATCATTACTAGATCGTACATTTTTTATAATATTTTTTAATTTATCAAAACTGATCATAAATACATTTTGACCATTAGCAGCAAGAATAACATCACGTACTCGGAGACCACCAGCAGCTGCTGGGCTAATCGACTCAACATGTTGAATAATAAATGGTGGTTCGACTGTTGGTTTAAGAGTGAAACCAAGTGTTGGATAATTACTCCATCCTCGTATGATACAATGACGAAGTTTGTCATTATCAGGAGCATAGGTGTCACTCAGTTCTGCACCCATAATTTCAATGAAACTGATTAATATCTGAAACATTTACAGTAAGCATATATTTAGTTATAGGTACAGGCTTAAACACGTCGTAAATATAGTGGACGTACGATATTTATTTGATATCTGATTGTGAAAATGTCAAGGTATTTACTTAACTTTGTTTATTTCTTCGGTTCTTAATATACATCCCCACCTCCACACCCTTCGAATTCGAAGTCATTGTAAAGTTATAGGTTAAACAATCTTTCTATTGGCTTGCAAAAAAAAGTGTATAATCAAGTAGTTCTTAATGACATGCAGCATACATAAACAAGACAATTTTCTGAGATCATTTTATTTTTATTTTGTAGAGGATATTAAGTTGTATATGAAGCAAAATTTTGGTTCTTATTCATCCAACTATAGATGAAATGTAAATCATAATATAACAGAAGAATCAATATTTTCTAAAAATAATTCTTGCCCTATAGTTTTGATTTGTTTTGCTAAAACTAAAAATGCCCAAGTAATAGCTTAGTAATCTCATATCCTCACTTCAGCCGTAACAAAAACATAAGAAAAGAAAAGAATCCAGCGAGAATAATACCTGCCCTAAACGGCAAAACAACAGCGCCGTTTTCTATCGATTTTAAGGCCGTATAAGGCTTATGTTATTGCTTGTATCACATTAGATAAATACCATTCCTGAATACGGATTTATCCTCCCAAGTGCAAGCACAGGAGATTTATAAAAAATGTGATTCACACAAACGCAATAATCATGCTTACCGTGTATGAAAGTGCCAGAGAATGTCTTTCTACATAAAGTAGTTCACTGATTAGAAAAACTATACCTTCCAGAATGTATTTTGTAATCAATAAGTCACTATTTGTTTTTCGCCGTTTTTAAGTATATACGGGCTGTTGTTCCGACATACGATGAGCAATATTATTGGAACTTTGATAAGCTTCCTACTAAGTATCTAGAAGACAAATGAATAAGTTTTAACGTCTATAGGACTTACGAAAAAAATAGCGCAAAAAAAACATATGCGAAGATGTGTACATTCCTTGAATAACTAAATATTATACCATCTCAATCATCATAATGCAAAGTACAGATACATTTTTACACAGCGTACGTCATTTCGTCGAATAGATGCCAACAAAATCTATCTATCGATGTTGAAATTTGTTCAAAACAGTTAATTCAGATCTTGTATTAACAAAAAAAAAGTAAAGTGTATTTGTAACCTCATCAAATCATTTCCTTGAATCATTAGAAATCAATGGAACTAAGAATCGAAGACAAGATCATTAAGGTTTATCTAATGATATTTGTGAGATACATTTTTGATTGAGTACGAAAACGAGATAAAACCAACAGTCAGAACAATAGTTGCTTTCGCTGGACGGTAATTGATAACCGTAATGGATGTCGTTTACAGGTCGTTCTATCCAATTTGGATATGAGAATAGGCTGTGAATGTTCCCTTGATTCATATCAAATAATTTATACACCAATAGAACTAGTAAATAATTGACCTAATAAAATATAATAGGAGTAATGAAAGTTTTAAATACATGTTCACTTTGTCAACAATAGGTACACAATAATTGTTGTTTTTTTCAGAGATCAATATATTAGTAATAACATGTCCGACCAATGCCAAAATCATTACCAGATCATTGAAAAATTTGATTATTAACCATACATTCAGATTCAGGATCTATTTTATGCTCATTTAAACATATGTGCATCATAAAGCTGTTTTTGTTTCGTTTTCAACCGTCTTTGCTGCTTGCTGTTTTACGTTTTATATTATTGTAACATTTTGTTATTTTGACAAGATGGCAACATGGACAGAAAAAAAAACCGTGAATTTCTATTCTCTCAGTCGAATGAATCATTAACAGCATTGAAATTTTCTTTTCTTCCTTCTCCATCAAAGCATTTTTTGTTGGCTTTCGAGTGTGATGCTGAAGGTATTGCTAGGGGTGGGAAGTTACCGTTCTCAAACCGTTCCTGGGAACGGTAACGGTAACGGAAAAGTTCCCACGTTCTCGGGAACTGGGAACTTTTCCGTTCTCGCGTTCCCGAGAACTGGTAACTTTTCCGACTCCGCGTTACCGGGACCGGTANATAGCGAAAACGTTAACCAAAAGCAAGAATCAGAAATAGTTTTTCTTTCTCGTAAATCTCCTGCTTTAATTAAAATGAGATGTTTTGAGCCTTTTTGCACATTCTCAAGCACAAATATAGACAACTTTTTAGCATTAATTTTCAAAAATATCGTTAAGCAACAAATTTTTCTTAGAAACTCATACCGGTGAAATTCCGGTTTCATCCGGCCCGGTTGGCTCTTGCAACCGGTCCGGTCCGGTCCGGTCCGGCCGGACCGGTTCCAGCTCTGGATGGAATCCATCTAACTGGAAATCTTCGCTTTATCTCATATTTTGCTCTGAGGCAAAACGTCACGAGAATAATCGCAACAAAGAATTTTTGAACTGAAATTCTACCTAATGATTCCTCTCATAGTTCTTATGATATGCTGAGAAATTCAGTTCAATGATTTCTTCTGAGATAACATGTTTTCAAAAAAGCATTAATTTCAAACAAGAGCTATGGGAAAAAAATTGATTTTAGTTTTCAATAATTTTTAGTAGAAAATTTTTGAAAATATTTACCCTTTTGATTTTAGTGACTTTTGAGTAGTACTTTCAGCTGTTAAATCTGAATCAAACGAATCATTTGATTGTAAATCTTCGATATTTTTTTTATTAATTTTCGAACTAGATGAAGATTTTTTATTATTTGATTTTAAATCTTTGGATGGATTTTTTTTCTTTTGTTTAATATTGATAATAATTATAAAAATAATTATTACCATAACAATACCAATAATTCCAATAATAATAAATAATAATCGTTTATTTTTTAAACCTGATTCTTCATTTGTCAAATTCAATTTTAATGATGTAGTTCTACTAAAAACTAAACGAAAACAAACGTTAGACTTAATAAAATAATAGATGGAACATAATAAATGATCGACTTTTATTTCCAGTCTTTCATACACTTAACGACGACTTCAAGACAGAGTACAAAGTTGATTCGATAAAGAATTTACGTTTTAACAGAACGATCGATTCTGTTTTTCTGCAGAGTTTACTCTTTTGACGTAAAGTTGATAAGAATAATATCTACGCAATTTTATCACTGCGAATCTTCTAAATATGAGAAAACTTATAGAGTTTTTTGTAGAAAAATAATTGCTTAAGTCAATATTTAAAGCGTATCGTTCAGAATTAAATTCTGCATCCGATCATATGAAAATCCATTATTTGCAAAGCAAATTTAGTTTAAAAAAACATGTTTTTTTTTTATAAAAAAAAATAATTTCAAATGAAATGTCGAAATTAGTTGTTGTACTTGATAAATTGATGGATTGTCTCATGCTGAGTTTTGAGTGGCGATGGATGAACAATAGTATCGAGAGAAAAACATAAGTATAACTTCTTGTTGAGAAATTGTAAGAACTAATCTAGAATCAACGAGCAAGTGACGACTGTAAAGTTATTAGTCTTTCGGATTTTACGTCAACATAGTAAACTATTCAGAAAGACAATGTTGAATATTTTTTTCTGCTCCACCTCTTAGCACAATTTACATGATGTTGATAATTGTTGAGAGATTAATAATGATGAATGATCACTAATAATAGTTTGTTTAGTTGTTGTCGATAATATTATATTTGATGTAGTTGAAGAAATAATAGATGTAGTAGATTGATTATTAAATCTTCCTGGTTCACCTTCAATGAAATTTATATGAGAATAAAATCGATAAATTTCTTGTTGATATTATTCACCGACGATTTCACAAAGAAATGGTTGTTTACTTGTTAATAAAAGTGAAACAAGACATCCATCACTTGTATCATTCCATCGTTTTAATGCTTGAAAAGTTGTGTTAATTATGTCATCTTGTTCCCATGTTGGTTCAGCTGGAAATATTATTGAATCCCAATGTTTTTCTTTACACCACATTGGATTAGTACTTGTATATGTATTAGACGATTTATTTCCCCAACGATAGGTCCATCCTATATAGAAATAAAGCTATTATATTCTTATTTTAATGATAAACAAGGTTCCGGTAATTCGAAATTCTAGTAAAAATTTTCTTTTGTAGTGAAACCTAAGAAAGCTACATTTAAAAGAAAAGTGAAAAGTCTTCAAAAATTGAAATATGCCAAATGCGTAAAGTTAGGCAAAACTCAATGCATCTATTTCGAAAAAATATTTTTCAATTGTTGAGAAAGTCAATTTTTTCGAATTGATAGCTAAACAATTATAAAAGTGGGTTCGTCTTCAAGAGTGTCACAATCAAAATTTCAGTTTGAAAGAAAAAACGAATATCATATTCAGGATCAGCACAAAAATTGGCATCGAATAGCATATCTAATACTCAAAATTAATTTTTGACAAATTTCAGTCCTCACCTTATTTTCTACCAAAGACACATTGTTTTTTTTTTATAGAGAAGGCATTCATACTTTTTTCAATATTGAAACTGTTGGAAAAAAGTTTTCTATATAGAACGATAGAGCAAGAGGTTTACTTTAAGAATTTGCACCATTCATTTTTTTTTGTGGAACTTTCTATTTTTCTTTGGAAAAAGATACTTTTTTCTAAGATGACAGAAACCTGGTCCGCACTCTTAAACAGCTAAAGTTATTTTGTTTTAATCGAAAAGTAAGCCATTGAACAAAGTTTACTGAATGTCACTCAAATCGCAAAACAAAACATCACTGTTATTCTTTCACCAAATGTTTATGATTTTGATGAAAATGGATTTTGAATATTAAGTATACTGATCGATGCAGGTTTTTCTGTTAACTCATATTTCCAATTTTTAGAGGCGTTTCTCGTTTTTTTTAATCTAACTTCCTTAAATTTCACTGCAAAAACAAAATGTTGCTCAAATTTTGAATTACCGAAAACCTTAAATTTATTCACAATCGAATCATCTCTATTCAACTTACTTGCTGTTGAACTTTTTAGTCCTAGACTACCAATAAATGCAATTGTACTAGATAGTACTCCTTTACTATTATTCACTTCTAATTTCATTTGATTATTTGTTAATATTTTTGTCATATATTTTTGAATGAAATAATATTCATCGAGATTATTCATTTCAAGTAATCTACTTGTTTTATTCGTTGAATCACTCATTTGTCCACATGTTCTTTGAGCACTTAACCAATCCATGATTTGATTTTCATAATAAATACAAAAAGCAACTAACAAATGAACAATAACAACAACAAGAAAAAAAAATTAGTTAATCTTTTAAAATAAATATTCTCACTAAGATTAATCCATCCTGCAGGACATAGAATACAATGTTTTTCATATCCAGCCCAGAATTGATTCAATGGACACAAACAATGACCAAAATGGCATTGCAAATTTTGTTTTGAACATGAATTATCATCAATACAGGACTCATTAAAACACCAAACAACTATAAATCATAATCTTATTATATTTTGATAATTCAGATATTTTACCTGATATGATAAGAAGCAAACGGAAGATATGGAGATGATTAAATGAATAGCATGGGATCATGTATTCCAATAGTATTTTGTGTTATCTGTGGCGCGAAATATTATTATTTTGTTTCTTTTTTTTTTTAATAGAATATTATTGTGACAAGACAGTACGCCATACAGCTTGCTCCCTTATCATAATAATAATTGATCAATAATGATTGACATTTTGCGGAATTATAAAGTAGGTTAATTGAAACCTTTGGATCATTTGTTATTAAGTTTCAACTTTTTCTCTATATACGCAAACATGATAATTAGTGAAAACATTTATAGAAAATCTATTGTTATATATTTATTCGATCATTAATGCTCGTTTCTAATGAATAATAAAATCTTGATATTTCATTTAAAGTTTGTAAATTGTTATGGGTTCTAATCATAGGAAGATTTGTAATGCAATAAAAATTTAATTTACTTTATTTGGAAGATCACTAATCAATAAGATTGATATTATTCTAGTGTAATCTTGACACTCATCAATTAAGAATGTGGAAAGATGTAGATGTGAGTATTATTTTCGCCCACATTCGTTTTTTTTTGTAACAGCGTAATGTATAAGAATAAACGCATAGAAAAAATTTTAATTAATCGTTTTTTAACATAATCACGAATTGAAAACATGTTTCATTTATAACGAAATAGTAAATTTACTTATCTAAAAATTAATAAAAACTTGGTGGTCTAAGTATAAAAATATAATAAAAATAACTTAATAGTTTCGATTTTCGTTAAAAACGACAGTATTTTTATTTTTTTCGAAAAAATCAAATTCATAAAATTAAGATTATCGTTGGAAGAAACTAATTCAATTGTCTTCATGAAAGACATGTACATGAGATAAATTATTGCCTAAAGAATAGTTAGATTGAATATTATTGCAGAATGTCAAGACTCATATTCTTTTTTTATGATAAATTTTCTCCAAGAATTCCTTTTGCTCGCAGTAGGTCTATTTTTGCTTCTAAATAGTCGCTTAATTTATTTCATGTGATAAAAACTGCACTTGTTCATAGTCACCTGCATCATTTGTTGTCACTTTTATAAAAACTGACATATAAAATCGTTCAGGCTTTGCAATATTGTTCCACGTTGATTAACACATCATCCCCTAGTCTAACCTTTTGGGAAGCACACGTGCTTGAACTTCTTGTTCCATCGCTTGGCATTCTTCTTCACGCTCTTGAATTCGTGTTCAAGTGTGTGTAAAGATGACTTTAGTCAAATTTTTTTTTTCATATGTTTGTCATGCACAGATCTTAAGATGTGTCCATATCACAAGAGTTTCTTTCCATAGACAAGAACTTGAATGCTTGCAAAAATTACGTGTACATTTTAAGCAACTCATGCTCTGAACTCATGAAAACCATGCGAATGGAGCACCCTTGAAGCGAGCAACTAGAATACTGCAGGAATATAATGTGTTGACAAATGCTCCTTAGTAAAAGAATTGACTATCGGTTGCTGATCATGGTCGGGATTCATGTCCGCATGTTTAGTACTTGTCGATTCGAAAAAGTCTGGATGTAATAGATTAAGTGCACATAAGAGTAGAACAGTGTGATATCTGACACATAAGAAAATTTAAAAAAAATTCTTTTTCATGTTTTTCCTTATGAAAATGCTATTTAGACTAATAGTTCTTGTGTAAACATCGCTTTCGAGCTTTTCGTAACCATATGCAACGAAAAGAATTCGAAAAGTTGTACAAGTCACTTGAAACTTCTAGCAATGAATCCCAGCTCTTCTACCACCAGGTAGCTTTCTAATTTTCTTTTTTATTTGGTTTCCTGAACAAATAACTTTTGCGCATTATCTAATATACAGAATCAAGTGTTTCTCTTTATTTCTCTCGTGATAGATACTTCGTAACATTTGTTCGAACAGAATTAATCATACTATTCATGTTCTCATTGACGCTTACTTAATTACACTGAACCTTTAAAACAAATGACGACTAATCATGACTAAATCAAAGGAGTGTGTGGGTAGAGATTTCAGTGTGAGTCTTTAAGTTCTGGATCAACGCTTCACTCGCACTCACACCCACACCTACTTCACCCATACCCACACCCACACCCACACACCCACACCCACACCCACACCCACACCCTCTACTGGAAATCAACCTTTTCATAGTAAACATAAATATATTCTGAGCTGTGAAAGTCTGTTTTAACATATGTGTCGTAGAATGACCTTTCTAATGCGAGCGTTTTTTTATCGTTCTTCTTGAAGTCCAGCAGGTCGTCGTATACATTTTAAAAAAAGAAGAAAATGGAAAATAAATACAGAGCGAAAGTTCCTTTTACCTTCAGTATGCATACAAGATCAATCTGACTTTTGTCAACATATACTTAATACAGAATCAACATAAAGTTATACTTGACAATTTGAAATGTCCAGTCGATATTATTTGGGTCTAGAAAAAGTGATACAACTTATAAGAGACGATGATGCATGAAACTACCTTAGAAATTTCACTATCGCACTGGGTCTTTTTCAAATATGTTAGGATGGAAGCTAGGGTATATATTGAACTACAAAATAAGTTGGAACAAAGATAAAAAAAAAAGCTGAAAGTAAACGATAATCATTGCCTTCAAGTATACAGAGTAGGGTGTAGGTGAGATTAAAAGAGAAGAATCTCAATGCATATCTTACATCCACACCCTCTAATGAGAATAGTGACTTATAACAAAATGAGAGAAAAATATACTTTTAAGCATCCGTACATGTTCAAAAATGTATAGAAAAGAGTTGCAAAAGATAATTCCTGCTCTTCTTTACACATAAACTTCTATAGCTATACACTTGTGCCTATAGTACAACATTGTACCTGTAAGCTTGATGATAAATGCTTAGATCTCTATTTTTTTTTTGATTATATCTTTCATCCTAGACCATTTTTGTTATTGCTGTGTAACCGTTGTTTTAGCTATATAGGTGTAAAATTGAAAAGAAGAAATCGGCCAAGACTTTTGCATCAACACAATAGTGTGTTACAAAGATCTCCATGTTGTAGTTTTACCTCAAAATATCACTGATATACTGGCGCTAGATTGTCGGTTCAAGAACAACAGTCGGTATATCGTGATAGAATGGTCATCAGAAGACAGACGCTATGTTTATTATCAAATTATAGCCAGTTGATTGTCGGTATGCTAGGGTTTTTGTCCCATTCGAATTGAATGGGTTTGTTAAGAAGTAATATAATCAGCTGTTTTCTTCTATCACTTTTGCGCGTTCTTCAATATGTCTTGATTTTTCTCTTTTCTATATCATCTGTATTTTTCCCTTCCTGTCATACATATTTTCTTTCCTTTCTGTCATATATTTTCCCATTCTATCATCTGTATTTTTCCTTTCGATCTCTTTGTTTTCTCTAAGGTTTTTTTCCTAAACACACTCGGATATTATCATATCCTAGGTATTGTTCACCGATATATATAGTAAGAGATTTATTATAAAAAAACAGTGTAAGTATAACGGATACAACTGTCCTTAGCTATTGCTCGATTGAAGGAAAACTTTTCCAAACTGGAATAACTTCACAGGTTCACGAGAAATGCTAAAGCAGTGTCGAGTGACAGATTTAGGGTAACAGAAACGAAGAACATATAATAGAAAACGATGATTGTTTGAGAAAGAGTTTGTAGTTGATGTATTGGATACCTTACACAATTATCTGATTGTCGTTTTCAGTTGTCGTATTTTTATGTTACTAGTAAACGACTTTTTCTCATGAGCGTTAGTGACAGTGGTCGCATTTCTTTGTAACACATAGTTTGTGACTATTGTAAATGATCACACTAAGCAACTTTCGTATTTTACCGCCATTGATAGATTTACCGTCATTTAAGAAGTAAATGCTACTTAAACAAAAAAAAACTTTTGATTTTGATATTAATAAGAAGTGCAATACCCGATCCTTAATCATTTCGAGAGTTGTGGTTCCACTTGAAAGAGACAGGTTCAGTGCAGACAAATTGCTCTGCTCTCATTTGAAAGTATTCATAATAAGTTTCTGGTGTGTGTGAAAAAAATCGTTCACTATTGGCCAATGGGACGCTTAAAAAACTTGGATCAGCAAATTCTTTGTTCTAGTTCTACTTTTATACTTTGATTGTTATGTTACTAACGATTCCATCTTTGATATTGATATTTGAAAACGAACTAGTTCAACATTCAGTATATATTTTTCTCTTGAATAAATTCGATTTTAATTAGAGTAAAATATAGAACATCTAATAATCAAGTTCAAGTTGACTTTAGTTGATTGAAAGCGTCGTATCAGTCATTTAGGAGAAGTTATTAAATGATCAATTTACATTTCAGACTTAAACTCAACTTTCAAGAAATATGGCTGAAATATTTAAAAAGTATTTTGATCCACTGAAAAGTAAAGTCAAATCATTCTATAGCAACAGTCCATTTGGTCTAGTGTTTGATATGGCTGAAGCAAAAACTGGTGTTGAATCTTCAATTATTGCTATTGGTATGTTTTCAATTATTCTTTTCTAGTTCATCTCACACATTCATATTATTTTGTAGCTATATGTGCTATTCTTGCCATCTATCTAGTGTTTGGCTGGTGCAACGATTTCTTGTGTAATTTCATCACACTAAGCTATGTAGTATATACCTCGTAAGTAG